GCCTGAACCCAGGAGGCGGAGGTTGCGGTGAGCCGAGATCGTGCCATTGCACTCCAGTCTGGGTAACAAGAGCGAAACTCCGTCTCAAAAAAAAAAAAACACATAGGTATCTCTGAACTGTTTCCTCTATTAAATAATAAACAGTATTAACAACACAATTATTAATAATAAATTAGCATTCAACTGTGTTACTTGAAATCAGGGTCTCTTGGCAGGGCACAGTGGCTACACCTGTGACTGAGGCGGGCGGATCACCTTAGGTCGGGAAGTTCGAGACCACACTGGCCAACGTGATGAAACCCCATCTCTATATTTAAAAAAAAAAATTAAATTAATTTTTTTTAAAAAGGCACGGCCAGGCGTGGTGGCTCACGCCTGTAATCCAAGCACTTTGGAGGCCAAGGCGGGCGGATCACCTGAGGTCAGGAGTTCAAGACCAGCCTGACCAACATGGTGAAACCTTGTCTTAATAAAAATAAATTTAAAAAATAATGATTTTTAAAAGGCACACATTACTTTTTTTGAGGCGGGGTCTCACTGTGTTGTCCATCGTGGAGTGCAGTGGCGGGATCATAGTTCACTGCAACCACGAACTCCCGGGCTCAAGCGATCCTCCCGCCTCAGTAGCTCGGACTACAACTGTGCACCACCATGCCCGGCTAATCTTTCCTTTAAATTTTTAGTAGAAAGGTGGTTTCGCTATGTTGCCCAGGCTGGTCTAAAACTTCCAGGCTCAAGAGATCCTCCCGCTTTGGCCTCCCAAACGGCTAGGATTACAACGAAAGAGCCACTGCGCCTGGCCTGACCCAAATATTGATGAAGATGAACACCTCTCAAAAATAGAAACTCCTCAGGTCAAAAACATGACAAATGCAACATATCTTCTTCATTATACTAGAAATGTTAAATTTGTGTCTCACTACATACATACAAAAGAGTATGCTTCGCCTCAACACCGTTACCGTACACAAGAGCAAGATTAAAATAAAAGTAATATGAACTGCTCTAAAAGTACTATGACTCTCCCAGGCCCGCTACTAATTGCATTACAGAATGGTAATGTCTTTAGGAACAGCCATGTTCTTTATATTTTGCAGGCTGTGACTACAGAACCAAACAGATTTGCTCTTTTAAAAATTGTAATTTCAGGCATAAAAATATAGACCCTAAAAAAAAGCAAATTGCACAGGTGTCAGTTTGCGAAAAGTAATTGAAAATGCCGACGAACGGGACAGCAAAAAGTTGCAGACTTAAGTGTGCTGGGGGGGTGGGAGAAAAAAGCAGCCCCAAAAAAAGGCAAAGAAAGGGAAAAAAAAGCTCTAACAAAAGCAATATGCTAGAAGAGTAAGCGGGGAGAGAAAACTTATTTTAAAGCAACTGCAAGAGCCTTCCGACCTGGCTACTGCGCAAAGCGCAAGGCCGCCCAGGCGGTCCACGGAAAGAGAAAAAGAAAGAATCCACCAGCAGCTCCCGCAGCAGAAACCGCAGCCCCGGAGGAGCGCAGCTGAGCGGAGGACTGTGTGGGGAGGAGAACGCCACGGAGCCTGCCCCGAGTCCCCGGCCCGTCCCAGAGACCCCCTCAACCCCACGCCAGGAGGGTCCCCGGGAGAGGGAGGAGGGGATGCGCAGTTCCGGCTGCCCGCACCCTGCGCACCTCGGTACCCAATCGCCGCCGCCGCCGCCTCTTCCTCCTCCTCGCCCTCGTCGTCGTCGTCTTCGTCGTAGAAGTTGTCAGCCGGCGGTGGCTCCCGAGATAGGCCCTGCAGGCCCGGCCCATTGTCTCCTTCCCCAGCCGCGGCCGTCGCCTGGGCCTCTTGCTCCCCGCCCGCCGCCGCCGCTCCCACTGCCCCTGCCTCCGCCTCCCGCCACAGCGCCGCCGCAGCCGCCGGGCAGCTCCCGGCCGCCGCCGGCACCTCACGCTCCAGTGCCTCCCCACCAAGCTCGTTCGGGCTCCGCTCGGGGCCGGGACCATCTCTCCGCGGCCTCTTGCGGAGCGGCTCCCCGGCGGGCGGCGACGCGGCCTCCCTCTCGGCCGCCGCCGCCGAGGGGGAGCCGCCGGGCTGAAGGACGAGGGCCGCCTCGTCCGCCATCTTCCAACTGCCTCTCTGGCCCTCCTCCGTCGCCTCCTCTGCTCCCGCTCGACGCGCGGCACTGGCGCCCCCGCGGCTCCTGCTGCGGGAGATTTAAACCCCGTCACGTGACCCGCCCCATCGCCGCCCCCGCCCTCTCGGCGCTCCCGCCACCCACGCGGGCCAGACCACAACACTACGGGTCACGTGGCGGGCGGAGGCAGCTGCGTCTAACTACCCCGCCTGAGCTGGTAGGAAACTCTGCCCCGGCGTCCCGCGGCCCTGCCCTTCTGTGGTAGGGGTGTTGTGCAGCCAAATTCGCCCCTCGGCGGCTTTCTCAACTTCTCTTTCAAATCGACCTCAAATCATTACCGTCCGAACAGCTCAAGTTTTGGTCCGCCCTGGGAATTCCCACTTCTGCCTCAAGTGTGCACCTGGTCTGCCTTAGCCTTGTCTAGATTTAGCTAAGGGTTAAAACACACCTGAAGCTGGCTAAAACTCAGCTCCTTGAAATACGCTGGATAGCCACTCTGTTTCGTTAATTAGTAGGAAGAGAGGCTGAAGGAGGCGGCTCCCTTCCCATTCTCCTCACACCATTCTCACGGCTCTTTAGCTCCTTTTTCTGCTCCTTGCTTCTCTCCTTAGTCGGTTGTTTTTGTCCCTCTCCATCACTTGTAGGGTGGTATAGATTGTCAGATCCTTTAAGGCATATGTCCTCATGGGAAGACGACCTTTGACATGACAGTTTGGAGATCAGCCGGTTTGCATTCTGGCCCCAGCTTGGCTTCAAGTGTGTGTGAAGTCCCTTCTCTGGGCCTCAGTTTTCTCTCGTTCAAAATGGGTGTGTTGGGTGAATATGAGGAGAGTACAGAAGGAAAAGGACTTGGCCTCCATGCACATCTGCGCTTGGTTAAAATTTGGAGTCCTTCCTTTCTAGCATGAGCTAACTATGTAGCCATTTATTTATTTATTTATTTAAGATGGAGGCTTGCTCTGTCGCCAGGCTGGAGTGCAGAGACACGATCTCGGCTCACTGCAACCTCCGCCTCCCAGGTTCAAGCGATTTTCCTGCCTCCGCCACCTGAGTAGCTGGGATTACAGGCGCGCCACCACGCCTGGCCCTATGTAGCCTTTTCTAAACCCAATTTTTCTCATGTCTTAAATGGTAATAATACGTATTTTGCAGGGTCATGGTGAGATTAAATGAGATAACCCGATGTAAAATGAGAGGTACCTAGTAGTTCAAAAGCGTTAGTGGAAAGCCTTTCCAGTTACTTTCTTCCCTCCCTGCAATTCTGGGACACTGTGACTCCATAGCTAACCATAACTGAGGACCCATATAACCCATAGTAGATCTAGAGCCAGTGATTGTTGTGGCATCTGCCTGGAGCACAGCGTTTCTATCAAAATCTTTAATAGAGATGGGGTCTTGCTGTGTTGCCCAGGTTGGCCTCAAACTCCTGACCTCAGGCATCCTCCTGCCTATTTTGTCATTTTCACTACGTTAGAAAACAAGTGTTGGCCGGGCGTGGTGGCTCACCCCTGTAATCCCAGCACTTTGGGAGGCCAACGTGGGCAGATCACGAGGTCGGGAGTTTGAGACCAGCCTGACCAACATGGTAAAACCCTGTCCTTACTAAAAATACAAAAAATTAGCCGGGTGTGGTGGCGCATGCCTGTAATCCCAGCTACTCAGGAGGCTGAGGCAGGAGAATTGCTTGAACCCGGGAGGCGGAGGTTTCAGTGAGCTGAGATCGTGCCACTGCACTCCAGGGTGACAGGGCAAGACTCCACCTAACCAAAAAAAAAAAAAAAAAAAAAAAAAAAAAAAAAAAAAAAAAAAAAAAAAGACAATGGTGTACTTTCCTACAGAACTTAGTATTCTGCACTTTATCAAACAACATTTGGGTAGCTGTGTGAAATTTCCAAACTATGGCAAATAGGCTGTTTAGTAATGCAGCCTGCCTTCCACCAGCAGTATATAAACCTAGATCAGGTTCTCAACTGGGAAATTTTGCCCTCCATCCCCCAGAGGACATTTGACATTTCAAAGACATTTTTGGTTGTCACGCCTGCGAGAAGGATGTACTACTGGCATCCAGTGGTTAGAGACCAGGGGTGCTGCTAAACGTTCTAGAAATCTAGAGAATGGCCATCTGCAACAAATAGTTATCCAGCCAAAGTTTCAGCAGTACCATGGTTGAGAAACACTGACCTAAAGTTTCAACCCTATAGGGCAAGTGGTAATGATTGAGGCTTTAAGTGAGGAAAGTTTCCAAGGGAATGAAGGGGCAAGCTTTTATTACCAAAGCTAGGTTGCCCAGTAGCATAGGAGTTATTTTCACACTGATTTTTATCAGAATCCACCCACTGAATGAACTTTATTGTATAGTATCATAAAGATATATTTCCTTTTTAAAGGGCTCTCATTAATTAGTAAGAAAAAAATTGTAGCCTAGTTGGAAATAAAGAGTTCAGTTCACAGAAAATGGGACACACCTGGCTTTTAAACATATGAAAAATGTAAAACCTCACTCATAATACAGAACTATGCATTAACCTACAACAAAATATCAGTTTTTACCCATCAAAATAGTAAGGAACTGGCCAGACACAGTGACTCACACCTGTAATCCTAGAACGTTGGGAGGCCCTGCTGACAAATCGCTTGGGGTCAGGAGTTTGAGACCAGTCTGGCCAACATGGCAAAACCTCGTCTCTACTAAAAATACAAAAATCAGCTGGGCATGGTGGCAGGTGTCTGTAATCGCAGCTACTCAAGAGGCTGAGGCAGGAGAATCACTGGAACCCAGGAAGTGGAGGTTGCAGTGAGTCAGGATTGTGCCACTGTACTCCAGCCTGGGTGACAGAGCAAGACTCCATCTCAAAAAAACAAAAACAGGCCAGGCGCAGTGACTCATGCCTGAAATCCCAGCACTTTGGGAGGCTGAGGTGGGCAGACCACCTGCGGTCAGGAGTTTGAGACTAGCCTAGCCAACATGGCAAAACCCCGTCTATACTAAAAATACAAAAATTAGCCAGGTGTGGTGGCAGGTGTGTATAATTCCAGCTACTTGGGAGGGTGAGGCAGCAGAATCATTTGAACCCAGGAAGCAGAGGTTGCAGTGAGCCAAGATAGCGCCACTGCACTCCAGCCTGGGCAACAAGAGCAAAACTCTGTCTCAAAACAAACCCCAAGAAACAAAAAATAAAAAAAGAAAAGAAAAAAGTTTCATAATCACATACTAAATAATCCAAAAATTTCAATGGCTAAATGCAACAAAAGTTTATCTCTCAGCTGGGTGCAGTGGCTCACGCCTGTAATCCCAGCACTTTGGGAGTCTGAGACAGGCAGATCACGAGGTCAGGAGATCAAGACCATCCTGGCTAACACGGCGAAACCCCGTCTCTACTAAAAATACAAAAAATTATCCGGGCACAGTGGCACACGCCTATAGTCCCAGCTACTTGGGAGGCTGAGGCAGGTTAATTGCTTGAACCCAGGAGGTGGAGGTTGCAGTGAGCCAAGATCACACCACTGCACTCCAGCCTGGGTGACAGAGTGAGACTGCATCTCAAAAAAAAAAAAAGTTTATATCTCACATAGTAATCTAACATGGTTATTCCCTGGTGAGGTGGCTCTTTGGTGCAGCTTTCCTCCAAAAAGTGAACAAGAGACCCTTGTTCCTTCCATCTTGTAGCTCTGCCGTTGGACAAACAAAGGAAATTAAGTAACACCTGTTAAAGGGTTTTATAGACGAGTCCTAGAAGTTGAACCCACTACTCCTTCCCACATTCAACTTTCTAGAAATCAGACATGTGGCTACACACAAGGATGCCTTGGAGATTGTATTGTTCAGGATGACAGATTAGAGTAATGGGCTAGCAGAGACAATGACCAGCACTAAAACGTGCTCTAGCTGTATGTCCAAGTTGTCAGCTGGATACACTCATTCTAACTTTATAAAGTTTCCTATTAGCCTTTCACCTAATGAATCCCCTCCTTTAATGGTGTCATGGACAGAATGTTTGTGTCCCTCAAAATTCATATGTTGGCCAGGCATAGTGTCTCATGCCTGTAATCCCAGCATTTGGGGAGGCCAAGGCAGGCAGGAGTTTGAGACCAGCTTGGCCAATAGGGCGAAACCCCATCTCTACTAAAAATACAAAAGTTAGCCAGGCATGGTGGCACATACCTGTAATCCCAGCTACTTAGGAGCCTGAGAGGGCAGGAGAATCGTTGGAATCCAGGAGGCGGAGGTTACAGTGAGCTGAGTTCGTGCCACTGACTCCAGCCTGGGCAACAGAGAAAGACTCCATCTCAAAAAAAAAAAAAATTATACATTGAATTCCTAACCCCCAAAATGATGGTATTGAGAGATGGGGCTTCTGAGATATGATTAGGTCATGAGGGTGGAGCCCTCACAAATGGAATCAGTGCCCTTATAAAAGAAACCCCAGACAACTTGCTCACTCTGTTTTCCCCACGTGAAGACACAGCAAGAAGACAGACTCCTGTAAACCAAGAAGAAGAAACTTACGCAAACCCAACCATTCTGGCACCCTGATCTCAGACTTCCAGCCTCCAGAACTGTGAGAAACAACTGTTTGTTGTTAAGCTACCCAGTCTATGATAATTTTCTATAGCAGCAGAGGTGACTGAGGCAAATGAGATCTTCTGATAAATAGAAATATTCAATTTATTTATTTGTTTATTTTATTTATTTATTTTTTTTTTTTTTGAGACAGAGTCTTGCTCTGTTGTCCAGGCTGGAGTGCAGTGGCATGATCTAGGCTCACTGCAACCTCTGCTTCTTGGGTGCAAGCGATTCTCCTGCCTCAGCCTCCCGAGTGGCTGGGGTTACAGGTGCCCACCACCACACCCAGCTAATGTTTGTGTGTTTGGTAGAGACAGGGTTTCGCCATGTGTTGGCCAGGCTAGCCTCAAACTCCTGACCTCATGATTCGCCCACCTTGGCCCCCCAAAGTGCTGAGATTACAGACGTGAGCCACCACAGAAGTTTTTTATATTGTTGTTGTTGTTTTGAGACAGAGTCTCACTCCGTTGCCCAGGCTGAGTGCAGTGGCAGGATC